ATGCTTTCTCATCTGCACACATGGATGGCTGGGCAAAGGTTGGTGCGCCATTTTGGTAGCATAAATCGGATACCGGCTGGCATCAGGACGAGCTTTTCAGCACGTGGAAAGTGCCATTGTACGGAAAAGTTTCTGTGATTGCAGTTTCGAGCGTTCCCATTCCGATGGTGGTGGAAGTTATGCCCAATGAATAGAAACTTCATCATCTGGATGTCAATACTTATTCCAATCTATATAGTCAAATTTCCTCGTAAGCTTTTTTTTTCGCAAAATTTATTCAGTAAGTTTCCCATTTCTTGTTACACAACTCTATGAATATACCTGATCATAAGTTTGTTTTCTCTTTCTCTGTTGGGCTTTAGGCCTTGTCCGTTAACTTCCGGCAGTGAGAAATCGAGTTTGTCATTTTCCATAATTCATATCAGTGATAAACTGACGTTGCTGCCCCACCGTGATGAGAGGTTAAACCGTTTCCAGTTTGCTTCTCAAGCAGTCCTCACAAAAAAGGATCCTCAATGGTCTTTCCAGCGAGTGAGTGCTGTTGACAAAAAGAGCTCTCGCATGGTTCTGTTTAGAGTATTTACGTGTATCAATAGGGAAATTAAACAAAGCATGAATTTTGATTTTTCACCTGGAATTTCTCTTTCCGGAATAGCTGTGATTTCTGTTTCTGACTTTTGAGTATTGCTCATCCTGTTGCCGCGACACAACTGACATTGACTGTGTGGGACATTTTTCCGCATTGATTCTTGTACGCGTTGGCCTGGGTTAAGCTAAGAGATGAAGTTACAGGACGCATTGCAATGTCAAAACTCCAGGAAAAGTGATCAACCTGCTTTCAGTTTAGCTGCTAAAAGCTGACCGTGGGCTGCCGAAGCTCACTACTGTATAATTTTTTTGCAGCACAAGTATGGCAAGCGATGATGGTGCATCGGATCCCTGAGCATATGTCATTACATAATCGACGAGGAAAAGCGCAGCGCAAGCAGGATGAGCTGTATTTCAAGAAATATGATCCACTGAGGGAAGAAACTCCAGTGGGAGCTCGAAAGTGACTCGAATAACATTTAGTTCTAGGCATACACCTGTTCCCAGTTACCTACGTGCGTCTCGTCTTCAGTGATTATCAATTTATGTAGTTATTTTAATTTTTTTATTTTTTTGGAAATAAACGTGGAGCCGTTTAATGTTTATGGTACCTGTCTGTGGGCAGAGTTTGTGTTTGGCTCATTTTTGGGAGCTCTTGACAGAAACAGTGATGTTGAAGACTTACAGTGTGCAGTTGAAAAAGATACACGATGGCTTGTATAATGTAGTAGATTTGCATATGCGATATAATTCTTGTAAACTGCTCACAGCAAATACATTTTGAGAAAAATACATGTTGTCTGAGCATGCATATGTGACCTGCTAGATTAAGATTTCTTCAGGGTGTGTTCTAGTCAGTTGATTTGTAAAATTGTGGGGTTCCGAGTTTTTTTTTGCCGATGCTTCGACAACGGTAATGTAGTGCGGTATTGCCTGATCGTATCTCACCTGGAGGGCAGTAAGATGGAAATAAAGAGGAGGTCTAACGATAATTTGAGCAAGGAACTGGGACTAAGTTACATTCGCGTGGGATAGCCTGTGGTTGCGAATAAGCTTAATTCGAGCGTCATCTGCAAAGACGAGAGTTGAGGGAGGCCGTTTGATTAAAAGGACTCCGAATTTTTATAGGGCTTCATCATCTGT